CGATTTAGATAAAAAAAATGACACTGGAAGTAAACCGGTATAAACAGCTTCCGTGCTGCTGTTCCAATCAAATGAGCTATCGTGTCCTACACGCTATCGTCTATTTTTTCCAACCTATCGATACATACGATATCGATTTTTTAATAAATAAATAAATGCACCTTGCGCGCAATGTAATCTCATCTTTTTTAATCTTAATCGTATTTTTATTCATATAATGCCTCATGTGAAAGTATTAAATTTGTCAATACCTTCTTAATTATTAATTCGGATTTACAACAGAGACTCGAGTGTAGAAGCAAGATGTCCTTCATAAAATCGTCGAGTGTGTTCCGAGCTTTAGTCCAGAACTCATTAAAGCACATTATATTCGATATCAAATGAAATTCGTAATATTGAGGAGCTCGTTTCATTACGACTACTAAATGAATCCTTCAGTTGATCGATGAGCCGTCTCAGAGTTTCAAATAAATCTCCTCGGCTCAGATTTTCATACTTAATTAAGTTATATCTAGAAATTATTCGCGTCCCCTAGTGACACTTTGTATTTCCACTAATTAAAATCTTATTTAGACACAAAAGGGTGGGGAACTAATTTGACATTGTACTGGAGAAATATTTTTCTAAGTCGACTGAATTAAATTAATAAAAATGTGGATTTGACTTTAAGCTTAGTTAATTATATATTATATTTATTTCCTATTATTCTATTTAAACGGAATCAAAGTCTAGTTCGTGTTGTCATATCTAACACTTAATAATGACACTTTATTTTTAGTGTGATTTTTGCCTGCGTAAATATAACGGTAAAAAATACATAATATATACCAGTATACTTCATTATTCAAAAGAATGAAACGGTTCATTGAACCAGTTGCCTTTAAATTTTGTAAATTACTTTGTTACACAACAAAAAACAGAAATTAATGCTATTCACATAGTTTGAAGTATTGAACGATAACCGATGTCACTGTTGCAGCGTAAGAACTTTTGCATTGAACATGTTTTTTTATGATAGAGAAGGACAGACAAACATGGGATTTACGTGGTGAAACATTTCATGGGATGGGTGAAATACGCCGGCCATATAATGTCGAAACAAGATTTAAGGTTTATTTTGGCTTTCGATATTTAGAACTCAACAGTCTCAAGCCGAAACGCGATTAAACATTTTATCCGTAACTTTTTATCTGTGGATTGTGACCCGGACAGAATTTCGTCATTCCATTAAATATGCAGATTTCCAGACGAAGTCCTAGAGATGTTTCAGAAAAAAATTAAATGGATTAGATAAATTTTGGACCCACGATCCGTTGATTAGCCACACATCGCTACCGAATCTTATTGGTCATGTATTGTACATGGTCTTAGCGGGCACGTCCTTGTAATTGAATCTGTAGACGGTAAAGCGGCATTATTGTAATCCTGTAATCGGCAATCGGGTCGAATGCGAGTCGTCCGGACAAATCCGGAACAATCCTAATGGCTCGCTAATGGCCAGAATCGAATCGAAACTCTTAATATCGGATTAAAATAGATTTGTAATCGATTGCGTGTATAATTAACTTATTAAACAACTAGCTGTGCCCTCGACTTCGTCCGCGTCCCGTCGTTCTAGCGAGATTATCTTAAAAGATAGACATATATTGTCCCGGACATTTTTTAGATAATTTGAAGAAGAATCATTCTTTCACACATATTTTTTAATTATCACGTAATTAACCCATAAAAATGAATAATTTCCCCCGTTATTTTTCTACATTCCCCACTGTTTGTGATGTTTCGTAGCCTTCCTCCATAAAGGCTCTAACCAACACAAAAAATAATTTTCAATTCGAACCAATAGTTCCAGAGATTAGCGCGTTCAAAAAACTCTTCGGCTTTATATATTAGTAAAGATTTTCTTACAAAGAGCGCCATTAAAATGATTAACTCCGATCATTTCAGTCGTACGATATTTAAGTCGCTTACGTCAAACAAGGTAGACTCGTAGATACCAAAGATTTCATTCTACCTAGGATAAATTATAGCACACTTATTCAACAGAGATATCGATATTGTACCTATAATATCTAAGAAGAATCCAACAATGTACGACTTTAAAACGACACTATGCGATCTTTTTAAATTAAATAGCTTTTTATATTTATACTATTTTTAATGACTAATCTCTCTATCGTGCAATTATCTTGTTTATAATTAGCACTCAAGTACGTCACTGTATCGGATAGTGCAACTACCCCGAACCGATGACCCGTAGAGATAAACCATGATCACTTGACCCCCCACGTGTTCCACCCGTTTGAGGACGACAACGGAGTCGAGTGATCTCATTGAAGTGCAACGGCTCAAGATAAATTGGTCATATGGCGGCACCTTTTATAGAACGTATAGTCTTTCTTAATCCGTGACGTATGGATTATTGATCAATTAAATCGAGGGTTAACTCTATACGAGGATTTGTAAAGACTGACTTTTCCGCTTACGTTACTATTTAGGAACTAGTTGTGTCTTTTTGTTTCTGCGAAACTCCTCTTCATCTTTATAAACTCAAGCTGTTTCCTACGACGTCAGTCGCGTCCTGTCCTGTCCCGTTATGCAAGTTAGTCTTAATAGATAGACATATACAATCGCGGACATTATTTTACAAAGTTAAAGAGAAATTATTCTTTCGTACATATTTTTGGGTATCTTGAACCGTTTTCGCAGCGTACGCAGCTTAAACCCAAAAACATTTCCCCCGTTTTTATCACATTCCCAGCTATTTCTTCGCTCCTATTAGTCACAGCGCGATGTTCTATAACCTAAAGCCTTCCCCGATAAATGCTCTAATCAATACAAAATAATTTATCGATTCGAACCATTCGTTCCTAAAGTAGCGCGTTAAAACAAACAAACTCTTTAGCTCTATATATTCCTATAGATAAAATATAAGCATAACTTATACTAATACGCTTTTAGATACTGTCTATAGTTTACGCGAGTAGTACACATTTAAATAAAACACTTCAACGGTTTAAAACGCGATATATTAGTTATGCATTTTCCAGCCTGTACTGGTTAATTAACTCTAATCTAACTAATATATCGCATTTTAAACCGTTGAAGTGTTTTATTTAAATAATACGCTTTTACTAATACTTGGAGAAATTGTAATTTTTAGGTGTTCTAAGTTTTTATGTCGATTACTTTATTGGTTTTACTGGACTACTCGTAGTATCTAATGATCCATCTCGTTGAATCTCCATGGCCTGGTCTTAATAATGCAAACGCTCTCATCTTAAGTACAAGCTCAAACAATATTCCTAATAGCTAGAGCACTCGAATACACATACATCGCTATGTCATCAGAGCTGACACCTAGTTTATGACTTAGTAGAGTCAGCGACTAAATCTTGCTTAATTATCTTGATGAGTTGGATGTTCAAATTATAAAATATTATTTCTATTCAAGTAATAATTAATTTTACTCGAATTACAGTTTCTCATCGTAATTGTAGTTTTATAATATAACTAGCTATGCCAGCGACTTCGCTCACGTAGAATAGTTATTTGAGGCATCAAAACTTGGTATTGGACACCCTCTCTTTATAAATTTTTAACAGCTATAATCTATATTTAGATCATTATATGTATTTAGATTTCAATTAGTTTCGTACATTATATTCAGATCATTTAAAAAGGATTCATTATTTTATTCATATTTTTAGGGTACCTTCAACCGTTTTTGCAGCGAACGGTTTTTGTTCTTTTTGTCGCGTCCTTCTTCGATAAATGCTCTATCCAACACAAAACCTTTTTTTAAACCGAACCAGTAGCTTCTAAGATTATCACATAGAAATAAAAAAATAACTCTTCGGGTTTATAATACTAGTATGATATGTATAACGCGCAACTGACGTTACACGTGAATATCAAAAAATCTCTAAAAGTATGAAAGAAATGTGATTAAAATGGGAAATTCGATAGTTTTCATCCGGAGTCTTATGCAAGGTTTTTAATTTCAGCTCTGCATTGTGGAGTTGTTTGCGATGCTTCACACGAATCGATGTTTCACAGATTTCATTGATTTAGACTTCCTTCTCTATTTGCGAAGCTTTTTAATTATTCGCCTTCCTAATATTTACTAACAATAGTATATATTCTTTCACATTAGATACACTCGTAATTTGGTTGATATTCGAGTAAATACTGTCTATAGCTTACGCGAGTAGTACACATTTAAATAAAAGCAGCAGCCGTGGTCACGGGGAGACCACGGCTGCTGCAAAGCACCCGAAACGTCGGGCCGAAGTTAAAAATTATTTTCAACTAAGTTTAACTAATATATCGCGCTTTATACGATGATGAATGATATAAGAATATTTAAATATAAATCTAATCGGTATTTAAGTGAAATCTTACATAACATTATTAAATGCATATATATCGTTATGACGTTAAGCTATACAACTTTAGACTCGTAACATTTAAAAATCTAAGGAATGCACAAATGTAAACCGTCTAGCGATTTAGGTAATAGAAATCTTGCATATTTCAAAATGAAATTAAACGAACTTCGCTGCGGTCTGTGCAACAAAAAACAATAACTGTTTATAGAACAATGATTATATAACTATTTCCTCTCTTCGTAAAGCAAATTTTCAACTAATTTTGTTTTCCATTGCTCAAACAAAAGCTTTACATTTCAAAGCATTCTTTATTCTCTCAAAGCATTATTTTCCGTATTTCCTTTTAAACTCCTAATACATAGTATTATGATGTACAGAGAACTGAAAACTATACTACTGTATGAGAGGCTTTATAATATTTTCTTTGTTTTTGGAATTTAATGCTTAGTTTGTGGTAGGTTTGCAATTTTACGCTTCAATTTATTATCTTTTAAATTTAAGACTCGAATACAAAACTTTTAATTAAGAACATAATACATACAAAAAAGTATGTGTAATTACCTCAAAGAACTACGTTCTAGTAAAAAATCCGCTTTCAGGTTTAATCAAATGAACGTGCTAAACTTACTAGCAGCCCTTTTAAAGAGTCGGGAAATGGGAGGTATATATGTTAAGTGTAATTATAACTATTTGTTGCAGATGCGTTGTGTGGCCGTTTTGTTTGTGTCTGCTTTTACGCTCGCGTTAGCAACAGCGGACAGCCACGACCCACTACCTTCGCAGGTAAAAAACAAAGACTACTTCATTTTTAGACAACACAAGCGTAGCATAATTATATTCCTTATATGAATATATTTCGACTGTCTCTGTAGCTAAATGGTTAAACATGTCGCCTAGCAGTGCGTTAAGCGAGAGGTCCTGGCTTCGAATCCCGAGGACACAATAGATTGCTTCGGCCGGCAGGGCACAGATGTCTAATCAACTACTTGCTTAGAAACCGATTAGTAAAACGGACTCAGAAATGTCTATGCCCCATGCCCCACGAAGGGAAACAGGATTTCACTTTATCAATATATTTCAAAGGTGATTTAGCCGTTGATGAATATTCTTCTCCTAATCTGTTATATACAATGATTTAAAACAACATGATGTAGTACAAATATAATGTCGTTCTCCTGTGAGCCTGGTCACAAAACTTGAACGAATAGTAAACGCCTGTAAACGACGCAACAATAAAATATCTCCCATTTAATTGTGAAGTAATTCAGCGGAACGTGCCCGCAGAATCACGGTTTTGTTTTAAACAATTACTGTCGGGAGCACGTTCCCTTTACGTTTACGTGTCCCGAATGGCCAATTCTGTCGTCGTTTATTCCACGTCATCTTCACACGCGCAAATCTCAGTGATCACAATGGACCTCGACTCAATCCGAGCGTAAATACAATATCTGCTAACCTGTGTCTCCATTCTCTATCCACTTAAGTCTCTATAGCTCCTGTCAATTTCGAGCAAATAGAAAACCCGAAAACCCATTTGTATCCTAAATATTTGCATGTTTTTCGGGCCCACCGTTTAAGTCCGGAAGTCAGGATATAACTTTATCAGTTGACAATAAGCTGGTGGTTTATCTACACAGTAATACACATTTAAATAAAAAACTCTAACGGCTTAAAACGCGATATATTTAACCTCTGTCTCTTGTCTCCCCGTGACCACGGCTGATGTAAAGCATCCGAAACGTCAAGCCATAGTTACAATTTTTTTTTAATAAGTTTAACTTATATATAAAGCATTTTAAACCGTTAAAGTGTTTTATTTAAATGTATACTCACTAAACTAAGGAAAACGGTACACAAATATTCTGGCACTTCTCAAAATAAGTTAAAAACTAAATTATAAATAAATGCGTAGGTGTTAAAAACGCTGTAATGGTACATCACTGAAATATCTATTCAATATAGACTCTGCAAATATCTATTAACATTACCTACATCTTTGTATTATTCTTATTTCAATATGTTCTGTGAAGAAGCGTTCTCATCTTTCCGATTAATTGTCTACACGTCATCAGACGTCGTATTCAAAATGTCCGCACCCTAATAGGGTGACTTAACCGGGGAATACGTAGTAATATAAAGGTGTTGAGACAAGCCGTGGAGATAATCCCCCAGTTGCAACGCTCTGTTACATTTGTAGCTCTTTGCACTCAGATGACCTCTCGATCCCTTGTACCTCCTTTGTTCAATGCATGTTCATCACAATTTTCTTTAAAAAGGACACAAACAATTTTATAATTTACATCCTATTATCTTATGTATCGCTTTTCTTTTATCCCTTCTAAATTATTGTGATTTAAAAGCATATTTTCTTGCAATACTTACATAAACGTACGCGGAGAAGCAGACAAAAGTGTTATTAGAATTTTAAACTAATTCACAAACTAAAAAGCAATATATCAAAGACCCAAAACGAAAATGACCGTGCTCTTATCGTACTTAGAAAACATTACCCTCCTTTTTATGCCCGATAAAAACTTGACTCCAAAGCTACGTCGTCGAGAAAAAAGGGTGATGTTAAAATATTTCCACAGAATACATAAACACGAAGCGAACCGCGTATAAATCAGTGTCGTTAAACAATTTTCCCGCCATTCCGGCAGCTTCCCGAGATCGTCTCTTATGATATTAGCCCACTTCCCCCTTGCCCCTTTCCTGAGAGAACCATCGTCCCGCATTCTAATAACACTTCATGGACTGTTAATTTTGCGGCCGCATTGGCGAGTGCCCATTAGAATAATGTGGTATTTTAAAATAAAAACTACCGAATAAAGTAATTTGAAAGAAGCAATTTCTTATTCACTTAGTAACAAGTTTTAGCAGAGATATATCTATAAAAGTCCCGTATAACGTTGCGATATGATATTCACGTGACTAAAATATTCAATATTTACCGAGACAAGTCAATACATCCCAACTAATTCATGTTTGCTTACAAAATAACTTTAGTGAATATCTTGTTTGCAATATTCGCTTTATCGAAATACCCCAGTCATGTAACAACTCAACACGATGCGATGATGACCTATTATAGGACACAACTTCTCTACTATTCTATAATACGAATATTTACATAAAATGCTAATAAAATAAATTCTTTCTTAAATTACTTTAAAAAGTTAATAGGCACACGATTCTTCTGAAAATACCTGTTCGCGTTAAAGCTTAACAAAGTAAACTGATTAACATTCCCCGCGAAAACAATTCGATTGAAGAACTTGCGAGGCACCTCACGCGCCGATGCCTCCCAGGATTTTTACAAAACTATTTTAAGAGATCCACGAACGACCAATTTCTTTCTAATCATAGAACGACCTCGGTTTAATCAAATCCGTGTTTGGTAGATTGAGCCTCAGAACAGACGGTACGGTAATGGAATACGTTATAAGTATCTAATACATAATATAATTGAGTCGCTCTCTTGACCTACTCAGATTATATACATTTCTGATAAATTTAACAGAACGACAACGACCTACAATTAACAGAAGAGGACAAGCGAGCCTGGACGAGCTTACATGGAGGTTGGGGCAAAAGGGCCTGGCAAGACCTTAACTCCGCCTGGGGAAAGCGGGCGTGGCAGGACCTCAATTCCGCGTGGGGCAAACGTGCCTGGCAAGACTTGAACACCGCATGGGGTAAACGAGGTTGGCAGGACCTGAACTCTGCGTGGGGAAAAAGAGGGTGGCAGGATTTGAACTCAGCGTGGGGAAAAAGGGGTTGGCAAGATTTGAACGGTGCATGGGGCAAACGGGCTTGGACCGATATGTCACAATACCCTTGGGGAAAACGCGCTTGGCAGGACCTTAACACCGCCTGGGGCAAACGTGGCTGGCAAGACATGAGCTCCGCGTGGGGAAAGCGTACACCAGTAAGTAAATATATCTTATACCAGCTGATCTGGCAAACGTTTTTTGCCATGTCAAGAAGTTTGATTAATACGAAAACTTGTAAGTTAATCTTAGAAGATAGGTATATAGTGTTCCAAACATTTTTTTTAGATCATTTAAAGAGGAATCCGTTTTTACAATTTTCCGACGGTTTTTATCTCGTATTGGTAGCAGAAAGATGGTTTATAGTCCTCCTCCAAAAAATATTTTTCAGTTCCTGCGATTAGCGCGAGAACAAACAAACTCGTCAGCTTTATAATATTAGTATACATATCTAAGTAAATAAATATATCTTACAAAACATTTAATCAAATTCAGTGACAGTAACCGAGACGATAATATCACGTTGCCAACCCTGAGGCTTTAATACCATCTATATCATCTCTTTAGGAGCATAGTTCACTATTATTGGATGAAGAGCAAACTGACTATACTAACCGCATTATTCATTGATAAGAAAGTTTTTAATCGCTTCTGTGAAAAAAATCGTAGGAGAACTGGGTGAATCTTCATGGCGCATGGGGCAAGAGGATACCTGAACCAGATTACGAGGACTATGAGATGGCCGTAGATCAGATTCCGTCAGCACACACGCAAGAGGTAAGCGCGAATTTAAGCTTCGTTTACTGATTATATCTTATGTTAGTAATGTGTTTACGCATCTTTCGAAGTCCTAATTTTTGCATTATAAATAAAGAAAAATATTATTACATTACTTAAAATATGTATCAATTAATTCAAAAATTCGACGATGACGGCACGGAATAGCACGGAACGCTGTGCCCGGAGCACGGAAGCCGGTTCAAGTCCTGGCCGTGTCGTAATTTTTTTTCGAATTTCAAATCGATTTTTATTTTGAATATGAAATAACCTATGGAATATATTTTATAGGTGGAAGATCAGCAGCGATTAGCAGAACCTCCGGTGAAAAAGGCATGGTCATCTCTTCATGGTGCTTGGGGCAAACGGCCTGTTAAACAACCCCACTTTAATAATGGTAGTATACATTTTTTTATACTAAAATGTATTTATAACAATTAAGGTGTACGTGATGTAATAGGAGACCTGAGACAAAAAAGAATGATAAAAAAAATACGTTAAAAGTTGATTCGATATCTAAATGAAATTTGAAATTTAAAAAGATTTCTGGAAAAGTGCAATTTCCGCCCGCGAGAATGAGCGGCGTAAAGCCAGAATTTATTCGCTTATTCACTGTGATCCTAGATTAATTACATGACTGATTTAGATAGATTTTTTACTTCAGCTTTAGTTTAACACAGCTACATTCCTACATAAAATTTAAACACGTATAAGTCGTAGGTTCTTTTTTAGTCGACCAGATTAAGTATATTTGTTGGAAACTCAGGAATAGAAATAAATTTCGTTTAATTTTGCTCATTTCGATTATTATAAATGTGTTTTTTTAATAATTATTGTGATAATTAACAAAGCATCACATCGACGTGAATTATGGCGTTTAATGCTCGGTGGTTGTTGAAATAACATATGGGTAAATGACAGGAGCGTATTACTGGAAACGGGAGCCTGGCTGGACCAACCTCCGAGGCATGTGGGGCAAACGGGCGGCGCCCTCATCGCTCGACCACGGTAACAATGCACGTGCTCGTTAAATAGTCTGGCACGTAGCTCATCCGTAGCACTCTTGTAGCAAGCCTCGTAGCACATCCGTAGCTGTTCCTTGAAATTTCATCACTTTCGTAAATGATTTCTTCTTCGTACACTCTGTAAAGTTTGTTTTCAACTTATTTCCTTAGGTCTCAGCTGTTGTAAATATTTTCCCTTAAAAACATTTATGGTATCTCTCAAATTTATTTCGAAGGATTTGTAAATTACTAATCACTCAGTTCATCTTATACTTATTCAGGATCTTTATATCATATGTAAAATCTACTCTCCTTTTTAAATCCAACAAACCCACCTTTTCCTCCTTCTTCTTTTGATGTCGCATTAATTGTACCGAATAATTTTCATAGCACTCATTTCATCATCATGTATGTTGTACTGACACAATGATATTCACATACGTTACTTAATAAATACTCCGAATCGAATGATGTTGATCGTAATTAATTTAAGCTTTAAAAGGAGCCGTGTCACATCGAATGGACGATGCCAAAGTAAATGTTTGACCTTTTCCAAGTGGAGATGTTAACAGGGTGTTAAACATGTCAAGAGTGATGTGTCCAATGATGATAAACATATACGGATCTGAGTTTACCGTTGTGTATAAAAATAACATAATTAAAATGCATAGTTCTTTTACCTAGCTATACAGATTATACAAAACACATATAAAGCTTGACTTGCTTCTTAGTCGTAAGGTAGCAAGGTATAACTAAGTTTTAATCCATTTATGCTTTTTCTAAAACATGTTGGACTTTATCTGGAAGTTTGGACATTAAATGGTAGGAACCATCGTTCACAAATGGAAAGGCCACGATTCCCAAATATCCAAAGCAAAGATAGGTCGACAGCGCAATTTGTCAATACGTTATTTGGTTGGGGTATTTCCTTCCAACAAGTGAATCTCATTTAAATAGAACACTTTAACGGTTTAAAACGCGATACGGACGGACGGGTTTTGACCACGGCTGCTGCAAAGCATCCGAAACGTCGGGCCGAAGTTAAAAATCATTTTCAAATAAGTTTAACTAATATATCGCGTTTTAAACCGTTAAAGTGTTTTATTTAAATGTGTACTACTCGCGTAAACTATAGACAGTATTTAAGTGAATCTCATGTTTGTCTTTCTACCTCTATCGTTAAAAAAATAATCTAGTCTACAATAAAATCGCAGCTTACTATCAATCGGATTCAGTTGAATTACATATATATTTCAAAATGTCTCTGCTATAAGTACACTCTTTTGTCAGTCAAACGGACAACAAAATAGAGCCATTTGCCGACAATCTTTAGGCACTCCTTTCGCGTTGGTATTTGGTATGGAAAAGTGTTTAAATAAATGTGAGAGCCCGCCGCACCCACGCCACCCTACTAAGTAACTGTGTACACAATCTGTGTAATATTTCGGGGCTAAGCGTTCTGTATATTTAGGTGAAGCTTTCGCTGTTGATAAGCTCTACACTCGATGTCATTATTTACATTACAACACTGAGTTTGGTCCTTGGCGAAGTGGCCTCGCAATTTTGTTACATTACTTGATTTTGAAGTTCGAGTACAAGAGTACGCTAACTAATAACTAATTGATTTTTAAATTTTGTTTAAAATTAACTTTTATTATGCTTATCCTAGTGTAAATAGATGGCTTGTCCTAGGTTAACAAAATATGAGTCTATATACATGTTAACAAGAATAAATCATACAAATTTGTGTTTAAATTATAAATTATAACTGAAATTTTAACAATAAGAAGTATAAATAATAGTAACTATTAGGAAATTGATTATTATTTTATAGTTCAATTAATTTTTTCGCAGTTCTATTGGCTTTTAGTTACATTTACCAACGTTATCACATTAAAATATGTTGAATACTTAGTCGTTCTATCTAATAAGATCGTTTATTTATGTATTGTTAAACAACCATTGTGTCTGTATTGTTATGGTAACTAATACATTTGCTACTCTCTCGTATAAAAAAATAATAATTAACGCGAGCCGCCACCCGAATTGTAAGCTTTTGTGAAAGTGACGTTAATTGTTAATAAAAACGAGCGGCCATTAAATCAAAACTCTGCGCCTGCCTTAACATGCCGAGAACGTTTTTCCAAACGAAATCCGTTATTACCTTCACAGATTAATGTTTACATCTAAAATAAATCGATAAAATGCGGTATTTTAATATTGGTTATATATTATAACTTTTTTTGCGTTGCCCGGAAGAGATCGCTCGTTAGCGATAAGATCGCCCATTGCACTTCAAATTTTTAGTAAATAAGTCTCGTTTATATTTTTGTTCGTTTTTTTGTGCAATAGAGTGTAAATAAATAAATCTTATTTGTCTCTGTCGCAGCAGTGACTCTATGACAAAATACAGCCGACAGTAAATCGGAAAGTAAGATAAATATACCTTGAGTTTAATTTTTGAAAAATAATTTAGAAGACCTTAATATTTTTATGATGGCACTTATATAGATAAATCAAAAATCAGAAGGAAGAGGAAAAGCACGGCGCGCTCTAGATGCGAGTCGACTTTTTTTTCAATTTATAATCGATTTTTAATCTATACTATATATTGTATTTAATGTGTCACTCCTAGAAATAATGAAATCTACCGGCATTATTACATTTAGTAGAATCCATTGAGCAACCGACTCCTACCCGTCATCGTCGAATTTCTTCAACCTATTGATACTTGCAACTTGACAAAACAATGAACATAACATAAATTGTTCCACCATTAAAACTGTAGATGTTAATCTCGTTAGTGAAATGTAGTTTAGTTGCTAGCAAATTTGAATGTATAAGAATATATGTAGTAGATTAAGTGAAGTCACTAACACTTAGAATCGTTAAGCGGTTGCCTTAGGACCGTAATGAGGCCTGACCACAGTCGATAATGTGAGCGAGGTACTCGTTCGAGGCGCATTTATTAGCAGCTCAGTGAATTACATCGTCAAGGGCTTGTTTGCTAAAGGTTTTTAAGACGAGACAACTAATTTAATGATTTAGAAGTTGTTAACGAATTAATTAATCATCATTTTTGATTTATTACGTTATTATTTACTATACAACTTTATTATCATTGAAATATAGATACTTACCATTTTGTAATGTTATGAATGAGTTACATCGAACCTCGTGGATGTTTTTATATAATACAGTCTTTCCACGAATTTTACTATGAAGTTAAATACACTTTCCTTATGTCTACTATTATTGTCTACTAGTGAATTATACACGCAAAACTGTTTGTCTTATTGGCTACTACTAATTTATACATAATTCTATATTAGTATATAAACCTGAAAAGTTTGTTTGTTTGAACGCGCTAATCTCAGGAACTACGGGCTCTAATTAAAAAATTGTGTTAATCTCAAAAAATGTCCGCGACACTGTGTCTATCTTTCAAGGTTAACTTAAAAGAACGACGGGACGCGACCGATGTCGTGGGCAGCTTAAATTTATAAAGATGTTGAGGTTTGCAAAAACTTATTTCGATGCCCTAAATAACTATTCCACTCGGACGAAGTCACGGACACAGCTAGTCAATCATATTATGCTATCAATGATGTTAACCGTTAAGTTAAGCATCGTTTTGTGTATTACCAAAAACGTTAACTACTTACTCCCGTCCCTGTTTGTCTAATATAAAACTTGGTGGCACAATATTATTATTAAAAGATACAGAAGTCATTTCTTAAGTAAATGGGCATTTGTCAGGAATTCGGACGATTTGTGTCCAAGCCGGGCAAAGCTTAAGGTCAAATCGCTTCATAATATGTAACGCCAATGAGGCGGAAAAAACAATTATCCCGCGATCCCCAAATCCTAACATATAAGCGGTTTATTTTCGATAGATACCTTTGTGGTCTTAAGCAGTATCTAATATGGTTGAACTGAATGTAAAGAACAAAGAAATAACTAATTTTTCAGATATCACCCTAACAGTCCCGAATACAAATATTAATGACGTTTCAAACATTTTTTCATGGATATAAAGAGAAAGTATTAACACATTTACACAACAAATTGTAAATAAAACACTTTAACAGTTTAAAACACTATAAGCGTCCCCGTGACCACGGCTGCTGAAAATCATCCGAAACCGAGCCGTAGTTAAAAATAATTTACGCACAATTTTGCCTAAAATATATCGCGTTTAAACCATTAAAGTGTTTTATTTAAATCTGTACTACTAGCATAAGCTACAAAGCATTAGTTCAGAAAGAACAGGGTAATTATGGTCTTTTAAATTCGGTAAAGTTTGCAAACTCATTCAGGTTTTCATCGAATCTGCTGTAATAGGTTTTAGAACCAAAGTACTATGTGAGGTTAAGTTAAATTAAAGTGCAATTTTCTGCTTTCAGAAAACACGACAGGAAACGAGGCCTAGACACCAGGACACTATGTAATTTGATCACAGTTTCCTCCCAAGAGACTCCTTTTACCCACAACACTTGTGAATCACGTTGGCGGTATCAGTTCCTGTTGAATTATTGTTTTAATATATTTGTCTCATATAACTATGTACTTGTAATAAAATAATATTCATATTGTCCTCAATTACTGTATCTTGAATTCCTTATGTCTTTTCATACAACGTCACCTTCTAGTTAATAAATGACATTTGAGATATTATATTAGCGTTAAGTACGGGGCTGGTGTAACTATTAATTATTATAAATAATAATGTAATTAATAATTGTAATTTACTAGTGATGTTGATGTATTAAATGGCTTAACGAGTTGTCCAATAAGGGTTAATCGTTTTATTTTAGTCCCGTTCATATATTATACTTAGACTCTAAGTAGACTAAAACTAAAATCTCTTTAAGAGGGTCGAAATACTTAAATCCACCATAAAAGATAAATATCCAAAAAAGGAATTTAAATTGTACAATGTTTACAGCCGTATGTTAGTCTTGGTTCTAAAGATCTAATGATAATGAAAGCAGGCAATTTTTTCTGCGCTGACATAAAAAATGCTACCAGCTCACGGTAACGATGTAAAAAATCTGTCTGGACTAATTTGCAAGTATGAGGATTCTCACGCATCAGTTCTGGCTGCTAGTAATATAAATAATATCAAACTGGGCTAAGGAACAGGAGAGTAAATCTAATAAAAATCATATACAGAGATATGAGCTGGAAGACTACTAGTAGCTCCTAATAAGTAATTCAATAGACGTGAAAGATTTCACGTCTATTGAATTACTCAGATTTCGTCGGAAGAGGTGGAAAGAACAGCATTTAAATAATATGTTTTTTACGGTAGCTCAATTGGTTAGAGCATCAGCATGAAACGCTGTGGAAGCCAGTTCGTGTCATCATTTATTATTTTAAATATTTTTTTATTATCGAAATAAAATTGACGTAGTGTTGTAAATACAGCTCAACTCTCAAGCTTAATATTTAAAAAAAATCTTAATTATCACTTCAAGTTTTATTTGTGTAGGAGATTGTATATCTGCGAAGGTTTGAGATACATACATTGAGAAAACCCTATCTCATTATCTTCGGCTTATATTGACTCAACGTATGATGTAGGAAACTTCTCGTAATTTTCTACAACACTGATCACGTCTGTTAAATATTCTTTCTCGAGTAAATTAGGCAAAATAGTTAGTAATTTTGAAAACTTTATAATTTTTTACATGTTATTGCGCATGAAGGCACTATATAATTTAAAAATCGAAAATAAATTGAAAAAAAATATGTCTCAGGTAGAACTTGAACCGGCATCGTCAGCGTTCCGTGCTGTTGCTCTACCAATTGAGCTACCGAGTCAAGGTTGAAATTATATTGCGCAAGAGGTGCATGTATCAAAAAGTTTAAAAAAATTCGACGTTTAGGTGTAGGACTTGGTACACCTCATCGGTAGGATAAACGTAATCCACTAAAACGATAACTTTTCATGACATAGAATCAGGATGACATGGACAATATACAAAACAATTAGGAAGGTAGAATGAAGACTAGTTTTATTGGGGGTGTACGTTTACAACACAGTTCGTTATCGTGTTCTGATTCGACACTAGACGATGTAGAAAACATAAAAGTGAAATTCCGTCTCCCTCCGAGGGGCATGGGGCGAACACATTTTTCCACGTAGTTGATCAGACTTCTGTGTCATGCGCGATCGAAAATTATTGTTTCTGTAATACTAGGCAACACGTTTAAGTTGGCTACAGAGGTGGTCAGTTGTTAGCATAAAATATATTATTTATGTAAAATTTAACTAAAAATAACCTGTAACTACTTTTAAAAGCTGAAATAAAACCAGAAACCCATTACGGTGTCTCTCAATTTTTGTAAAAAGAACAACTACGTAATTTTTCAAGATGCCCTCTAACATTATATGTATTTTTATTTGCCCTTGTAATTTAAGACACAAATCCGAGCTCATCACGTGTAAGACAGGTGGATGGATAGGTGGATTGAAGATGGGTGGAGGGGAACGCTGAATGTGTTTATTAGAGACAATAAAACAGTTCATATTTCTTCGTCATCCAGGCGTCACCCGTCACCCGTCACTCGACAGTAGGTACAAATTGCTGTCATGTGCCTTATTGTTGCTCCGACGGAAATGGATCATTAACCACTACAACAAAATATATAATCACAATAGTAACTATAGCAGCTCAATGTCTGTATATGAGAAGCGTGTAAGAGGATAATACAAACACAAAGAATTAGCCGCTAGAGACAAAGTAGCCTAACTGCAATTTTAGGACTCGAATTATTTATATTTTCATAGACTAAAAATGTTAATCTACAAGAGCACAGTGACCGATAATTGTAAACATAATTCTTTCACAAACAATAGTACAAATTTATTTTCGCCTTTGTTAAATGCCTTTTCCTCCTTATTGAAAATCATGTTTTTATTATTAGGCCACTAGGAGTCGTTGGTGAGTAGCAATATAAGGCAAGGGGGTCGTGAGTTCTATCCCCACCCAACATTTTTCTAATCATTTTATATATTTTCTTAAACATGTTGAACTTTGTCTAGAAATCTGGATATTAAATGGGTAGAAATATCGAAATTCCGTCCGGATCACGAACCGTTGTTCACAGATAAAAAAGCAGTCAAGTTTAATTACTTTTCGGTTTCAGTCTGTGGTTTTCTGAAGATCCAAAGCCAAATTAGTTCGACGGCGCATCTTGTTTAGATGTTATATGACTCGGGAATTTCACATACCATCCAGTGATCATATCATGATATAAAAAAATATATTTGAACAAAATCATTAACAAACTATATGTATCTCACCGATAATGTCAGAAATACTAAATGATATATGCCCATACTTAAGAATGAGTGCAGCTGAAATTAAAAATTCGCAAATCACGAATTGTTTGCAAATTGAGTAGTCTTCAACAATACGTTCATTAGATGTTTCGTTGTTGATTTTTCGCCGATATGATCGACTGGCGTTCACTACACATCAGCGTAGATAATAGAGGGAAAAGTGTAAAAACAAAGTGAAAGGAGCAGTGATATTTAGGCCGCAAGCGACCACTCCATTCAATCTTGTATTGACACGACACATTTTGCCTTTTACGGACATTTTCATATCGAATTACATTACGCGGTGCCCAGATTCTGTCGTAAACATGTTGAAGGTTATACGCTGGAATAAAATGGATCTAGAGACTATCAAAGCTTCAGAATATCAATCGTTACGGTCTTTAAATTCTAAAGGTCTACAATTTTTTTTTTTGTGATAGACAAGCAAGGGTTTGACCGGGCTGCATATTACCTAATTAGGATGGGTTGACATATTTTATTGTGTGTGTATTTATGAATACAGAATGCAGAATTTATTTATGTGTTTTTGACAGCCGTATTATTTGGAGTCTTTGGTAGACGACAAAACAAAGAAAAGAATGTCCTACGTACCAACTTATAAATAAAAGGCCGACTAAGCGGCGATCTCTTCCAGGCAACCTGAAATACAGGAAAAAAGAAAAAATACTTTTTTAAGTGCGTAGGTATCAGGAATAATTAACAAAAAGCAAAGATACATCGTAAATGTATATACAACAAGTAGAAGATATAATAATTTTAGAATTGGAAAGGAAGGAACTTATAAAGCAAAATTTTAAAAGAACGCAGAGATTAGATAGAGAACTTTGTGACAGAATTTTCTAAAATATTATATTTACAGAGTTGAATAATGTTGAAAAATATGGTGCATATAATTCTTGGAGGAGACGATGAATCGGTACATTATGATGTTACGTCGGCGGGACTAGCAATCTGCCTGATTGTGTACCCTGTTTGTGTACATTGTGTTCCCTACACACTCCCGCTGCGTACATCATCATTTCGATACTAATTATTTGTCAATATTCACGCATGACTTCATATATCATTGTCTTTCGGGCTGTTCGGCCGATGTGAGCGAGAAAAGGTTCTCGACGTTTCGCCATCACGTGTGGACGGCATCATCAGATGTTAACTCCTCCATTGCTCGAAACATTAAATTAAAATTAATTAAATTAAATTATAAATTATTTAGTTCTTCTTAAGGAGTTAACATCTGATGATGCCGTCCACACGTGATGGCGAAACATCGAGAACCTCTTCTCGCTCACATTGGCCGAACAGCCCGAAAGACAATGATATGCTGAACGATGGCCGTGAAAGCCTTACACAATTTATTTTCACGCAAGACTTGTTTAATTTGCTTATTCTTGACTTGTCACATCTTGACCGCGCTAAATGTGGATTACTCCGATTTCTATTCTTCAGACAGAAAAATGTTATAACGGACTCGTTGGTGTAATGGTAGCAATGTATGTTAAAACGGGCCGTGGGTTCGATGTTCGGGTCCAACATTTTAATCAATTTGTAATTTTTCTGAAACATGTTGGATTTCGTCTGGAAATCTTGATGTTAAATGGGTGGCAAGAATATCAAAATTTCGTCCGGATCACGAACGACCGTCCGCAGATGAGAAGCCGTGAAATTTAATCACGTTTCGGTAGCTGTGATTTCCGATTTTCCCAAGCTAAAATAGGTTGACAGCAGATCTTGTTTAGATGTTATATGGTCGGGGTATTTCTCCTCCCATCAAGTGAAACCTTATCTGACCACGGCTGTATTGAAAATAATATTATAGGAAGTAGAAATAGCGATTATACGTGAGACCAAGTCTCCGTTTGTGCTTACACCACGTAATATTGTAACGTGTCGATATAGCATTACAGAGAAACCCTTTTATTGTTCGAGCACTACGAGAAATCTAATGCGTTTCACGACTTTAGCCACTCACTCGATGCATTCCACAAATCGGCTCGATCCTGCGGGCGGGCGGAGTGTTACTATGTAGCGGTTTAAAGCTTAACTCTGTCTGTTTACTAGTATAAATGTACATGTAAATCCAG